TGAGAATCAATCTCAAAGTGCAGTTACACCTCCCCAAATTGCAACCAAACCATCACCAACCCCTTTTGGAATCACTACACAATCTTACAATAGATTAGGATGGAATCCGGACGTTAAAGCAAAACAAGAAGAGGTGAGAGGGTTCAATTGAATTTACGCATTTTGCATGTATTTTATGAACGGATATTGAAAAATGATTTCTTACGAAAACATTGTCGCATATATATGTATATCCTCGATTAATATTATTCAATGATACAAAGTGCGATGCATCTAATTATTTGAAAAAAAAAGCTTTGAAGAAAATAATTTTCTATACTATGAGAAAATTTCTATTGCGAGACATCCTTGCTTCTATGTAATATCATATTTGAGCATATTGTATGCTCGTGTGTATTAGATCCAGAAAACTATGAGCCATTTTGTGGGAGACGTTATCCAGTGTTCGCTAGAACAAGATCACATGGAAGGTGTCGAGGAACATGAATGGGTAAGTAAGTAGGTGTTTCATTTGCTGTAAATCACAAGATTGAAATCGTGTTAATAAGGTAGCTGGTACTACTAAATGGTTATACGTAATAGTGAATTTATATAAATAACATAATGAGAGAGAGAGAGAGAGAGAGAGGGAGAAAAGAGCTGTATACACTTCAATTCATATTTTTAGATCTTTAGTACGTAATTTAAAGATAATTACAGTAACCTAAAAATAAAGGAGTCGAAACCGTATACTCTTATCTCTCTATGTTATTTATACAATAAATTTATTATTACATACGATTTCTTATTGCCATGATTTCAATTTTATTATTATTTTTGTTTATAGAACTTCTCTCTAAATTTACTCATATCATTTGCTGTGTTATAATTCTGATTTTTAAGTAGTTATTTGTTTATCTTGGTAGTTTAATAACTCTGTACTCACATTAGTTTCATACGCATACTATGTATGAGTATATCATCACAGTATCTTTTTTATATTTATTTTAGTAAAAATAATTAACAAAGCAATAAGTTTTAAAATAGAAAGGAAATTTGTATACAATTTATTTACAAAAATTGATGATGATTAACATTCAAACTTATTATTTTAGGACGAGTGAAAATTGAAGATTTGTGGATAGATGCAAACTGATAAGATAAAAATCTAAAACGTAGTTGTTTGAGCCGCGTAAGTTATTCATAAGTTAGAATTATATATCGCGCGAATGGCAACAATATCGCAGTGTTACTGTGTATAGAGTGAGAGACAGTTGTCGGGGAAATATACTTCCAACGATTTTCTTTTGCGGGGGAAGTAAGAGATAAGTACAGTGTTTTATATCAATTTACAACAAATAATACTCATTTTTTCGTAAATCTAGCTTAAGATTTTGTATCGCATTTTTTAATGCATAGAAGTAAGAATCCAGGCCTTGTTAAACCACATTAATTTAAAGTAAAAAGATAAACGAAGTAAATGACACAAGAGATTTTTTAATCTGACTACATTAATGCAATATTTGATATAGCGCAGTGTCAGTATGATAACACACTTCTTATAAAACTAAAATGCGTGATTATAGCTCTAGTCCCAAATAATTTTTTAAAATCGCTTTTTTGTCTCACTTATATATTTCTAACTATACCTAAAAATAATTCTGTACTATTCTATAGTATATCATTGTAGAGATTATATTAGATGTAGGATATGCTTAATTATTGTCAAGAGAATTGGGAAGCTTATAATGCAATTGGACAATAGTTTCATCCATCTATTTAATGAATATCAGTTTCGGAAGTTTAATGGATGAGTAATTCTTCTTAGAGCGAGTATGCTAGTATATTCGTTACAATCATTACCTGCTTTTCAGTACCGAGTGTGAACGATATCAATTGTGTCAGAGACAATTATTGACGATTTTTTTAATTATTTACGATATACATCGAGCATTAGAATGATCAATTTTCTATGTAAACGAGAAAAAATTGCAATAATGTGCCATTTGTGAAGCGACAGACATAATCCAATCTGCCGTTAATAAGAAAGAGAAAAAACAGTATTACAAACAATATTATTAGTTCTTTAAAAGTAATTTATTTTCCATTAAAGTTGACACTCCTTATTTAATTTATTTAATTGCCACACCAGTGCCAGATTTATCTTTGTTTCGATAATGCTAGGTGTCAATAATGGTCTCAATGTATAATATGTCATAATATAATATATCATTACTGATAATAGAGCAAATGACAGTTTCGTCGCAGAATTGTGGGGCAGATGGTTTTTTACGATATTTCATATCTTTGCACGTACATACAAAAAAGACATTATACAAATTAAGTGATAAATTCAACGCGCAAACAAGTAATCTTAAGCGATTAATTTGATTTTACAGCAGGTGAGCATTTAATGAACATTCTGCAACATTCAAGCGATATTAATGGAGAAAAAATGACTGATTCTCTTTTTACAATAATTTTCTTATCAAAATATTGAATAATAACACAATTGCCAATTTATTAAGCGATAACCTTTTTATCCAAATATTCAAATCAGAATATTTCATCTCGTTTATATACATGCATACAGGGTGGTCTGTAAATTACCGGCAAATGTTTCATGCGTGGGTAGAAAGACCATACTGATTGCGAGTCGAAAAGTCCTGTACCATTTTGCGGTATCAGCAAATGTTAACGAGATATTAATTACTAAAAATTGCAAAATATTGGTCTTGAATAATTTTTTACTGAAATACTATCAACTCTTTACAGAAAAATTGCAAGAGAGAGAGACAAAAATCATTTAATTTTCTTCTCATAAAGTTCTAAGAATTTTTTCCAGAATTTTTTATTAACTTTTTAGTACTGCATTTTCTTATTTTTACCAACATGAGAAAATACGGTATTAAAAAATTCTGAAAAAATTCTCAGAACTTTATAAGAAGAAAATAAAAATGATTTTTGTCTCTTACAGTTTTTCTGTAAAGTTGATTTAAGTAAAAAATTATTCAAGACCAATATTTTGCAATTAATATCTCGTTAACTATTGCTAACACCGCAAAATGGTACAGGACTTTTCGACTCAATATAGTCTGTTCTACCCACGTACGAAACATTTACCGGTAATTTCCTGACACCCTGTATATTTTTACGAGTTATAAAATATAATGGTACTATGTCCTCCAAAAATAAGTTTTGTAATTGGCGATAAAATACCTATTTTTTTTTCTTTGCAAAAAATTGAATGTATATGTGTGAATGTATGTATGTATGCATATACAGGATGTCTCACAACTACCGCATTTTCTCTTAAGGACATATTCTTGAGGTAATTTTGACACGAAAATCCTAATATGAAAATGTCGAGACTACAATAATTTTTTGAAGTATAAGTTAACTTTAAATGCTTATAAGTAAAAAACCATTTTACTTTTATAGCCTTTATTACTATTTTTGGATTCTTTTGAATATTCTAAGACGAAAATATCGAGGCTATAATAGTTTTCGAATTACACACTATCTTTAACCAATTATAATTCAAAAATTATTGTAGCCTTGACATTTTTTTTTGTATTAGGACTTTCGTCTCAAATTTACTTCAAGAATACATTCTTAAAAAATGCGGTGGTGTGAGACACCCTTATATATACATATATATGTGCGTGTGTGTGTGTGCGCGTGTGCATGTGTATATATTAGGGTGATTGTTACTTTCACGATTTTCGAAATTTAATCGGGACACCACCTAAAGTGATTCAATGTCACAAAAAAAATAACATCAGATTTTTTCAGATTTTTTGAACAATTTCAACTTTATTGGATCGGCAGTTTTTACTTTGGACTGTAATCAAAATTTACGCAAAATAGGCTTTTAACTCATTCAATTTTGAGCAAATTAAAAAAAAAAACTTTAAAATGGGTTAAGAATTAGAACGTTGACCGAATTTTATCCATAAAGGTGGTTTTCCGTCTATCCGTGCTCCCGGGACACAGGTTAAAATTGTTCAAAAAATCTGAAAAAATCTGATGTTTTTTTTTAGATATTGAACTACTTTAGGGGATGTCCCGATTAAATTAAAAAAATTGTTAAAATAATAACCACTTTACACACACACACACATGTATGTGTGTGTGTATATACACACACACACATGTATGTGTGTGTTTATACACACATATATGTGTGTGTATATATATATATATATTTATATATAAACTAATTTTTTTTACTTTCCATATCTCGGGACATACGAATATATTTGATCAACATAGTGCCAAAATTGATTACTAGTAGTATTTTTTGTATCTTGCACATTTTAGATCTGTAAGAAGGCATTCGAAAGTATTTAAGAAATTTTCAGTGTCAAAGATATTTAAGACGAAACTTGATTTGTCGCTGCCATTTATATCTCGTCCGCACTACTGATTTTATATTGCATTATAAAAAAAGGATACGATAGTGTTGCATATCTTGATGTAATGTTTTTTGTTTATTCGTGTATGTTATATATTGCAATCAGATTTGTAACTATTTTACAGTTTTCAAGCAAACTCTATCCGTTTACGACCAGATTACGAATAATGAAGTAATTTTTTACAGAACGAGATTAGAGGTGCATAATAAAAAAAATGACTGAATATTTCACGCCACTCGATCTCGTTCTGTAAATCATCGCTGTCTAAATAATTTTATCATATAGTAATGTACCTTTATATATCAATCTTATAACGTTCATGTATTTCAGCTATAAAACCTTTTTATCAAAAGTTCTAATCATATCTGATTCCCACGTATCCTCCATCTAATAAGTATAATTTATACAAGTGTTATTTTTTTTTAATTATATGAATACAAAATTTTTTAATGTATTAGAATCCGTAGAGCTTATTATAACGATTCGGACATCGATTAGTTCAAAAAGCATATGGAATGTTTTTATTAGAATAAGTAACTTTTTATAAAAAAAATTGCGTAATTAAAGAATATATATATGCAATTTCATAATATTTGTCAGCGATAATTTTATAATTTTTAATAATTTTTTTATGCAGTATGCAAAGATACAGTAAAAATAAATACGACATTACATAAATCATCTAGTGTATCCAACGCGATCCCTGGGAATCAACCTGAGCTCTGCACCATGTTTAAGAAATACATTTCCTGAAAGCATAAATTACGATTAATATTCGTATATTTAAAACGAAGATGTTGCGATATATATTTCAAGATTTACCTGCAGTTTGTTGAGGATTAATACCTATTCCATCATCTGTAATTATGGCCGACGTAGCTGGCGGCACTCTAAATTCCTCAGCAGCAAATTTTAATACGGCAGTAAATGGAGTATTTTCTGGTACACTAAGTCTGCAATTAATAAAATAATACATGCTTTTCTTATTTTACAAGATGTTGGCAAAACTACATAGTGACAAGGAAAATATCGCCTTACAAATGTATAAAGCAAATATATTTTTCTCATAACATCTTAAATATCTTTTAATACAGGATTGGTAATTATTTCGTTATATATAACAAAATTTATAAGCGGTAGAGAAAGTTTTTATTTCTTTTTGCAAAAATTACATAGAACGATTATAGATTATAGGACAACACAAAGTACAATTTACATTACAAAATGAAAAAATTTTGGAAATTCAATTGAAGATATCTGCTTCAACATTACTCCATATCTCACTATCTGGTTGAGTTTTGACAGTAGACATTCTGTTGTATACTTGTTTGCGAATTACGCGGGGACCGTTTAACAAAATTTTCACTATTTGGCAAAGATGCTTGTACTCAAATTTAAAATCTGAGCACCACTTTCCATCTATAAGGCACATATTTCGGCCAAAGTAAAATATTGCATCGACAAAATCTATGCAAAATCGAGTACTGTCTTGAAGTAATCTTAAGAGTGATTTCTTTTCAGTATCTGCTAAAGCTACGCATATTTCAGCATCATAGTCAGTTAATTTTGATGTAAAAGTTTGTACAACCAATTCTTTAATTGTATCATCATCCGATTGAACCGTTAAGTGTACAAGTCTTGAAACATGACTATCATTTAACATCTTATATATGCATTTCACTACTTCATCTTGATCACCATTAGCTATTGCCACTTGCCATGACATAATTAATGCCTCGTCTTCCATATCTGATAATGGTACTCCTAATTCTCCTAAAGAATCTATAACGATGTTTGTGGCGATAGAACTGCTTATTACTTGATTTAAAAAGGCATTTAATCTATCTTGCCCAAAATGTTGAGTGTACAATTTTAGATATTCATCAACTATTTCTGTAGAAATACGATTGTCCTTCAAATAATGTTCCAATAATTTATCGCAAGCTTTTTCCAGATCAGAGCACGTAATATTCTGATTTTGTAGAAATAGCTTTCTCTCCAACTTTCGACGTAAACATTTCTCAAAGGGCAATGTTCTCTTTTCAGCTTGCACCTGGGCAACGATGATTTCGATAAAGTGAGCACAGTTGAAAGCTTTTGTAGCATTTTCTACAGTCATTTGTTCATTAATAGCTGGACTCTGCAGTAGCGCGAGAAATGCATCGATAGTCTTAAAGATTTCAGAGCCAGCAACTTGCATGTTATTCTATATGTGTATGTATGTATATATATATATATATATATACACACACACACACAAACACAATTTCTATTTCAAACAGCCACTTACACTTTATATGGCAGATTAGGATCGGACGTGAGAGTGATTCTGAATGTGACTTTGGACCTGTAACAAGGTAAATTTTACATTAATACGTTGCACAATACCTCATGCTTAAATTAACAAAACATATGGCTTCCTCGCAACCATATCCCCTGTTATTATATCAACTTTATGTCTACTTTAATCTTGTAAATCTTTTCTGAATTTCTAAAAGATACGTACGCCATCATTCACACGCAGAATTCTATACAATATATATAGACAATAATAATTGTTCTAAATTGCAATCAATTTGTGACAGACTACAAATGCAACAGTCAAACCAGGCCAACAAAAAGTGTAACCTAACCCAACCTAGTCTCTATTTAGGATCTGGGTACCTATCATGAAATATGTCGGAATGGATTCCGATCGGAATTATTCCATTTTCCCTAGAAAACACAAATAGAAATCTAGGGAATAATTGAATATTTCCGATCGAAATCGATTCCGACTTGTTCTATGATAGATACGGTTACCGGACAAAATCCATAAAAAATGGCGGACGAATGTTGGCATTTCTAGAAAATCCCTAGGATTCATAAATTTATTTCTGTAAGATATTTGGGGATTTTATGCAACGCGAACAGACCTCTAGGGCCGGTATTCATAGGGTATGAGCACAAGGATTGCCGTAACGCGTTACGGCAGGCTTAAGTTGTAGACGTAAGTAACGCACAAGCATTGGCGTACGACACTCTGCAACCAATCAGAAAACAGGATTCCAATGGATTTTGCTTCGTATCATCGGAATCCTGGGGGTCGATTCTGTATCTTCAAACAAGGTGAAAATTACAAAAGTGAGCAAATTTACTAGGTGTTGACCAATGAAATTATCAGTATTCTAGTAAAT